GTATCAGCCCGCCCTGGCCGCGTTTCTCGCGCTGTGAGCCGCCGGGTCAGCCGTACGCCGGCGCTCGCCGAGGGCGCGCTGCCCGACCCGGTCACTGGCCCTACCCGCTTAGAAAGCGGCGCTGACGTCACAGGCGCAGACGGTGACGTCATTGGATGGCTGCTGCTCCGTGACTGATAGGTTAATTAGTAGATATTATAGTTATGCTCCTGCAAATGAAAGTTTCCAGCAGATTATGAAAAGAATCTGCTGATTTATGTGAATAATTTTCTTGGGTGCGGCATGAAAATCTGCTCCCTAAGAAACAATGTATCTTATTTGCTTGTCTGCCGGTGTCCGGTGTTCCCATTGGCCGATAATTACGTAATGAATGTTTCAGTGACGTCAGAAAGCCAAACTTTGCCATCTGAGAGCAACAGCAGCATCGTTTGGGATTCCGCGAAAATTCTGTTCATTAGTTGTTCAATTAATGTGCTCAGATCGTGTTAAGCGCCATCATCGTCTGGGGCCTCGGCGGGGGCTCGTGTGGCGTCGTGGGAGAAATCTGTCACGCTAATCCCCTCTGATATTCGCACGTTGACATGGGCTTATTTGGTTGACGACCTCGTGTCCCTATCCAGGTGTGATCGGAGTCCGGTTAGACCTGGGGTGTCCGTGCTGGAACGCTTATGTACAGGTGACCGAGTCGGTGTGAAATGGCCCGAAAAATGGCGCCCGAGTACAGTGCAATGACCTGCGTAAGTAGTTCATTCGCCGCAGGGTTGAAACTGTGACCGATGGATTAGGGCTCCATGTTCCGAGTTGTTGACAGGCTGTAGATAATCCCTGTCAACTGCAGAACCGTGATACTCAAAATCACGTCATCGATTCCTGGAATCTCTTACGTACGTGTATGTATGCTATCGTGGACATCAGAACCGACGCAGGCCTTCCAGAAATGTCATATCATTCATATCATAGGAGCTCTTCCTCCGCCATCTTCTGATCATATCACCTGCGAGCCTCTGAGCTCTGCTGACCCGTACCGCGGTTCACGACGCTCAGATTCCGTATTGAATGTGATGGCATTGCTCAAGTTTTAGGCACACACCGTATCCGCTTTGAGTCCGCGTGACCTGAGGCAGCCTAATGTGCCCACTGAGACGAACTGGGTGCGGCGTGACAGGCGGACTGGTGAGAACGGCAGGTTCGTACACGGGCGTATCCACCGAGTGTGGCCGAAGGAACCGTTCGCTTTGGCCCCATGCTTGGCTGTATAGTCGACTACAGAATGATGTTCCACTCCTCAGAAGCTATCAGTTGACCGGAGCGCTAAGTTGTGCCGTTTATTAAGCAATTAAGCGTGTCGATTGTGAGCATTGGGGCAAAGCTATAATTTGTTAACTCAGCCCGTGTGATGCGGCACAGCCTACCACTCCAGGCAAATAATTGCCTGTGAAAAGTGGAACATCATTCTGTAGTCGACTATACATTCACCGGGGCAGCGGCCATCCACTGAGGCGGGCGCGGTGGGCCCGTGTGGAGACGGGAGAGTGGCGGTGCTGTGCGTACCCGGCACCCTGAAGGCCGACGGGCTCGAGTCGTTCGCCTTGTGGCGTCTGTGGTCCACCTAATCGTCGTTTGTTGGACACCAGTGAGGCGGGGGGACCGTACGATTCATGGTGTCTTGCTGAGGTTATGTCGCTTACTGGGCGTGAGAGATGAGAGGTACGATGCTGCCCCGAACGCGTGATATGGTTTGGTAAGTGGAGGGAATTTCGAGGCCAATGGTGATTGCATGTTTGGAAAGTAAAGCCCAAGAGCTACTTTCGTCAATGGTGAGAAACGCGCACTATACGCTGCCGTTAAATTTTTGTTCCCATTTACACCACATCTCTCAGCCATGCATCGTTTCGGACCTCGGCCTCGGAAATAGTAAGGGCCTCTGCGGCCTTTACTATTTCTCCTTAACTATTTCTATTTACTATTTCTCAAATGTCCGAACTGTGCCTATAGCAAAGAGCTGCGTCACTTTCCGTGCGCGTCCGAGTTCGCCGTTTATCGACGGCCTGTTACGGTGCCGATCTCGGCTGCAGCGCTGCAGACCGGCCGTGCGCCGCGGACCGTTAGCAGACCGACCGACCCGGGCCGCGCCTGTGTTCGAACACCTCTTACAGTGGCGGCGAGGGGGCGGGACGGCGGGCGGGTAACGGTGGACGGCACGTGTGTGAGAGGGAGGGAGGGGAGGGGAGGGATTGGAGGTCACCCGGAACGGCCCAGAGACAGACCGAGGGCTGAGTAACGGGGCACTGGGGTGGGTACGAGGCGACGGGAGGATCGGGTAACGGGTAATGCGTGCGGGCTGCAGATACCAGGAGAGCGCTGGGTAACGGTTTAGTGGTGTGGGGTAAGGAACAAGGGGCAATATCTGTTATACACAAGAGGAGAGGACTGCGAAGTGCATACTTTTTGGACAGGTCTTGATACCTATCATTATACACGGGGAAGAGTGAGTTTGGTAGCTGTCATTACGGATGTCGGTGCAGCTGATCATACCGGCGTCTCAGCACTTGGTGTTTATTACTCTCCTGTCGCCGCTGTTCTGTCAATGTCTCTGTCTGTCTGTCTGTCTGCTGGTGCTGTAGCTGCTGCACCCGCTGACAGGCTGGTTTGTCCGCTGTCGTGTCTGACATGCTGGTTTGTCCGCTGTCGTGTCGACCAGAACCCCCATCGGCCGCTGGGCGGGGCGAGCACCAGCCGCACGCACACACGCAAACGCACGCCGTACGCGCCATAACGGGTCACAGCTAACCTTGGAGCGCTGTCAGAACTGATGTGCAGGATTTGCGAGCGGCGGCTCTTTTGCGGAGCCGATGTCGGAAATCGTTGCTGATTTGAATTGGCAGTCTGGTGAGCGGCGGTTACACGGGGACGGCTTTGAACAAAGACCCGCGTTGAACAGTGAAACTTGCAGGATTTTTGCGTTTTTCATTGTTCAGCCGGTACATTTTACTAGGCTTATGCATCTTTGTGTGGAGAGAGAGCGAAATGTAATGTGCCTTTGTCGGCTGGCTGGGTGGGCAACCGCTTTCTTTTCCGGTTCTACCATTGCGGGGCGGGTGGAATGAAATGACAACCAGCCGTAGTCCCTCTTTCTATGCTGTGTTACCATAGTTGCGCCTCGTTCTATGCGTACAGTACCTACAAAACATTTATTTTGCCGACATCATTTCACATAGCCCACTATGTCACACATGGCGCCGTTGTATTCCATGCGCCCATTTGTTTTTATTTGACAGGTGGTTGCACAACGCTCGGTACATTTTGGACCAGGGTCAGCCGGGGCTATTTGTTTGGCCTTTGTTTCCGCGGTGCGCGGTGCCGTTTTTATACCGCGTCCCGCCGCCGCGGCTCTCAGGTGCCGCCGCCGCCGGCGAGCACGCACCGTGACGGTCTCCTGACCCAGATGGGCGCTCCTTTGTTTACCCAGTCAGCTGACGGCGGCCGTGACGTCACGCTCAGCTGATGGCGCCCCCGGGAGGGCGGAGAAACCGCCGGCGCCGGGGAGGGGTGTGGGGAAGGGAGTTGAATAGGTTGGGAGGGGACGGGATAGGTCTACCAGGCAATAACTCTGTGGGAAGATTGGTGAGGGGAGAAGAAAAAAAGTGACGGCGTGTTTCATAAATTAACGGCGTGTTTCATATATGAACGGCAGGGTAACCCACAGATAAAAATATGGGCTGGTGACCAGCAGTCCATAATGCCTCCTTCATACTTTGAAGTGCTGCCGTCCCAGTTTGTTTTCATAAATATAATGACATGAAAATGCATTTACTCCTGTTTTTGTGTATTTCACTTATGTTATTGGTCCATTATGTCATACCATCTAATCCAAACGAGATGGCTAGCTGAATGTCTCACTCAGACATGATGGACCAGCCCACCACTGTTCGCTTTCCCTCGATGAAGAGGACTCTGGCGCGGCTCGCCCCAACCCGAGACGCTGTCCGTCCGGCTGTCCCAGCCCCGTGTGTGCCGTCCTCCGCGGCTTTATACACACACTACCGTGTGAAGTCTCGGCGGCTGCTGCTTTGTGCCACTGTGCGCCTGTCTCTCTCATACGGCGCCGATTTCGCCCAGCAACGCTCGGCAGCGCCCGGCGTCATTTATTGTCCCATCGCCCGCCGTTCTCAGGAGGAGAGTGCGCCTCGGCGGGCGCCGACTGTCGCACTAATGCCGTTGTGATTTGGTTCCATTGTGGAGACGGAGGCGGCGCTTTCCAAAGCTGTGCGGTGCGGGTTATTTATTTGAGTTGGTGTGACAGGTACGGAGACAGCTGGCAGTGGGGGCGTGTGACGGCCTCTGATGGTCACCGTTCGGTGCTCACATCGCGGGCGGTGGGGCTGTAGATGTGATCATTGCGGTCGGCCGCGGATCCGTTCAGAGCTCTGTTCGCCCGCCGCCATCAGGCTGCGACCATGCTGCTACTTCTTGGCTCCTCATTGGTCGAGTTCAAGTGGTCTATTCGTTAGAGCAATGAGAGGCCAAGAAGCGCCAGCAATAACTTCCTTATATGGGGAAAACCGACAGCACGCTGATATAAAAACAGCGACCGAACAGAGCTCTGGTTCTTAGTGGTCAATGATGAACTAGAACTAGGAACTGTAATTAGATTGCTTCCATTTCGTTACTTCTTCGTTAGCTGATTTGTCGTTGTATGAAGAAAACTGTATCTGTATGTTTCTTTCTCCATCTGGCTGATTTAAATTAATATACGAATGCGACCTATCTGAATCGTTTCTCGTAGTACTTCTGTGACCGCCATGATTCCCCCGCCGTTGTCCGTCTGTGGCCACTTTTGACTCTCGTCTGTTCTGTCCCTCGGTGAACGTGTCCCAGCCCCCGCAGCGTCCGTGGCTGCTGCTCGGTTGTCCCTCTGTGTCTGTGTCTGGTTCTCTATCTGTGTCTGTTGGTGACCCCTCTGTGTCTGTTTCTGACTCTCTATCTCTCTGTTTCTGCAGTGAACGTGTCACAGCCCCCGCAGCGTCCGTGGCTGCCGCTGGGTCGTCCCTCTAGCACACATAGCACATGCATCTTCACTGTCATGTGCTACAACGTTCTGTGTGAGAAGTACGCCACGCGGCAGATGTACGGGTGAGTACGGGGTAATGTACGGGTTAGGGTACGGATAATGTACGGGTCAGTGCACATACGGGTAAGTACCGGCACAATGACCATTGGACGCCGTCAGGGCACCGTGAAAGGTTCTTTGTCTGGTCTTGGTTACCCGTTGGCTGTTCATGAGCTGGTTTGTTGGCTCTTGCTATTATCAGCCTGTTTGTGATGCGTTCAGTTGGGTGGGATGGTGTAGGGTTAGTGGGAATAATTGCCGACTGTCGCTACTCGCTGTGGTCCGAGGTTTGGTAGTCTGCGAACCATTGTTGGTAGTTCGGGGGCTTTATTGTGGCTGTCTGAGTCGGAGAGTCGGCAGGGAGCTGTCTGACAGCGTGTGTGTTGTGTCTGGTTCGATGAGGATACGCCTGCTCCATTTTACCGTGCGTCATCTGTGTACAGATCCCTGCACTGTGGGGCTGTGTTGTGGCTCCGGTTTTGTTTGGCACTGTGTTCTGTTTTGGTTGTGTCTGGCTGCCGTGTCTGCGTCCGAGTCTGGCTTATGACCCTGTTCGACGTCTAGTTGTGTCTGGTCCGTATCTGCGCTTGCAGCTAGGCTGTGTCTAGCTCCCTCTTACCCCCCCCCCCCCTCATCTGTCCCTCAGATACTGTCCCAACTGGGCGCTGGGACTCACTACCCCCCCCCCCCCCTCCGTCTGTCCCCCTCAGATACTGTCCCAACTGGGCGCTGGAGTGGGAGTACCGGAAAAAGAACATCATGCAGGAGATCAGAAACTACTCGGCCGACATTATCACGCTGCAGGTTCGTTATCGCGACACGGTGACGTCACCGCCGATATGGGTGACGTCAGAGTGGCACTGACTTATGGATTGTATGTCGGCACGAGGGCACTGAGTGATGCCGATGCTTGAGCCTTATTGAACGCGTTTTTCTTGCTTGATCAATTGTCAGTTACTGTTGTACTTATTTTCTTATTTCGGTAAAGCACAGCAGCTTCTATTCAAGGATGTCGTTAGCCCAAGTTCTCCCATGCGTTTTCTAAGCAGTGCGGCTAGACGTTCCAGCTCTGTTTGTATGCTGCCGGGGCGTTCTCTGTGTCCTCACGGGCTGTTTCTGTACCGCAGCGCGCTAACCTTGGTTCTCTCTGATTACTCCACAGGAGGTGCAGACAGATCAGTTCTACAACTTTTTCCTGCCCACCCTGCAGCGCGACAAGTACGACGGCATCTTCTCGCCCAAGTCGCGCGCCAAAACCATGGCCGAGAGCGAAAAGAAGTACGTCGACGGCTGCGCCATCTTCTGGAGAACAGAAAAGTAAGAGACGCCGCCGCTGCGCTCGGGCTCTGTGGGGGGTAGTGAACAAAACTGGGTGAACCTTGGATAAATGCCATATTCTAGGCTGCGGTCTTCTGTGGAAATAAGTCTATCGACCTTATTTGGGACACTTTTCGTGTAAGTTTACGCCGTATGCTTTTAGATTTCTAAAGCAAAAACAAAAAAAAAAAAACAATCAAACTCCACTTCGAAATAACTGTTTCTACTTGAGAAATTAATTCAACATTCGAGTGTGTGTGAGGCGTACAAATTTAGGTCGGCGGCGTTTTGTCGCGGCGCGCACTGGGTCGGCGAGCCCGCCCCTCGTTCCACACCAGTCCACCCCAGCGCGGTGTTTTGCGCCGGGTTGTGCCCTCCCTCCCCTCCCCATAACCCGGTCGTTCCGCCCGCTCTGCCGTTCTTTGGCCCCCGACCCTGACCGTCCGGGCCGGGTGTTTGCGCAGGTTCAGTCTGGTGAAGGAATACCTGATCGAGTTCAACCAGATGGCCATGGCCAACGCAGAGGGGTCCGACGACATGCTCAACCGCGTCATGACCAAGGTGAGGACGCCCCGGCTGATCCTGCCGTACGACCAGTAGGGGAGGAGTGTGGGAGGGGGAGGTGAGGATGGCTCGGCCGCTGCTGTCCTAGTGGTGGTGGAGAGGGGTGTTGGGTGGTGATGAAAGGAGCTTCAGAGAAGGTGTATGTGAAGCGGTGGATCAGGCGTGGGTTTCGGTATGTGTAACAGCGGGGTGGTTTTTAGGTTGCTAGCGTCTGATCAGGACATCCAATGGGAAAGAAGCTCTTTCTGAATAACAGCCAGCTTGTTAAACGCCTAGTTTTGTGTTTGCCCTTATCCCCACAAGTAGTCTGATCATCCTATCGTTCCTTCAGCTGACCGTTCTGCTGCTTTCCGAGTTTTACGCAACCCTGACCCCTGCAGTGGGTCCCCACCGTCCGCCCATATGGAGCTGTGTGTAAAAACCGGCTCTGTAGCACCAGTCGGCCGGTGGCGGGGTCAGGGGACCGGCCCGTCCGCCCCCGGCCAGTCACCATTGTCAGGAGATATGGAGCGGGCTCTGTTTTATCCAGTGGCGGCTCTGTTTTGTCCAGTGACACTGACCTCCTGCCGCCCACCAGCCGCTGGCCTTGGTCCGAGGTCTGAGGTCCGAGTGCTGTGGGGATCCGAGGACAAAACTAGGGTCGTGTCAAAAGTGCCCAATGTCCGAGTAAAAAGCTACACGTTCTTTCACTCGGCAGTCGTGTATTGAACACTACGAATCCAACAATGTCCTCAAATCAGTCATGCGCGCTGGCAGCTACCCCAATTATTGACCCTTCCCTCCCCCACCCTCAGGACAACATCGGCCTGGCGGCGCTGCTGGAGACTCCCCTGTCTAACTTCCCTCCCCCTCCCCAGGACAACATCGGCCTGGCGGCGATGCTGGAGACGCGGGACGCCGCCTGGGAGAGCGGCGCGCCCTCGGACCCGGCCCAGCAGAACCAGCGGCTGCTGGTCTGCACGGCCCACATCCACTGGGACCCCGAGTTCTGCGACGTCAAACTCATACAGACCATGATGCTGATGCACGAGGTGAGATATAGGGGCGCGGTGGATGGTCCCTGGTGGGTGATGCGAATCGGTAGGGATCATGGTGGTGGACGATGTGTGGTGTAATTTCACGGTCACGCTCGAATTTATTTCAAAAATATTTGCACGCGTTTATTCTCGGCCTTGCATTGCTTTGGGTTTAGCTGTTTGCTAGTTTACCGCTTATAAATTGGTTGTTCATGACACACCGGAATAGTCACTAAGGGATGCTGACATTCATTTGTCACACATTACTTATCATTGTGTATTTCTAGCTAAGCTGTTGACTTTTGTTAGTATTTTTCGCCAGTCTGGTGACATAATGTGTGTATTTTCTGCGCAGATCCGTCAGATCATGGACCGCGAGGTGGCCAGTTTTCGGCCCGGCGGCCACCGGGCGGCGGCCAGTAACATCCAGCTGCTGCTCTGTGGGGACCTCAACTCGCTGCCCGACTCGGGTCAGTCACTGGGGGAGTCACTGGGGAGTCACTGGAGAGTCACTGGGTCAGTAACATCCAGCTGCTGCTCTGTGGGGACCTCAACTCGCTGCCCGACTCGGGTCAGTCACTGGGGAGTCACTGGGGAGTCATTGGGTCAGCAACATCCAGCTGCTGCTGTGTGGGGACCTCAACTCGCTGCCTGACTCGGGTCAGTTGCTGGGGAGTCACTGGGGAGTCACTGGGTCAGTAACATCCAGCTGCTGCTCTGTGGGGACCTCAACTCGCTGCCTGACTCGGGTCAGTTGCTGGGGAGTCACTGGGGAGTCACTTGGTCAGTAACATCCAGCTGCTGCTCTGTGGGACCTCAACTCGCTGCCCGACTCGGGTTAGTCACTGAGGGAGTCACTGGGGAGTCACTTGGTCAGCAACATCCAGCTGCTGCTCTGTGGGGACCTCAACTCGCTGCCCGACTCGGGTCAGTCACTGAGGGAGTCACTGGGTCACTGGGGAGTCACTGGGGAGTCACTGGGTGGGACGTAACTGGGCACTAAATTCGCTGGAGTGTGTCACGTCTCGGTGTGGAGTGACTAGCGAGCTCGAGTGTAGTCATTTATCAACCACTTTGGTCTAGCCACTCTGGAGAGATGGCAGCGGAAGTCGGTGGCGCAAATAGTCGATTCGTCTGAGGTGCTGCCAATTTAGCCAGTGATGTTGTTCAATACCCCTCGCCCTAGCCAGTGAATCTACCCGTCTGCTCCATGGGCCCTGCCACTGACTCTAACCCTCCTGCGTCGTGCAGGCGTGGTGGAGTTTCTGGTAAACGGTCGCGTACCGGCCAACCACCCGGATTTCAAGGAGCTCGGCTACAGGACCTGCCTCAAGAAACTCTCCGTGTCCAACGAGCGCAGCGGCGAGTTCACGCACCCGTTCCGGCTGGCCAGCAGCTACTCGCCAGACATCATGCCCTACACCAACTACACGTGAGTGGAGAATGCACTACATAGTACCGACATAATGCCCTACACCAACTACACGTGAGTGGAGAATGCATTACACGGCAGCTACATAATGCCCTACATAAACTACACGTGAGTGGAGAATACACTACACGGCGGTCACATAATGCCCTACACCAACTACACGTTAGTGGAGAATGCACTACAGAGCACCGACATAATGCCGTACACCAACTACCGGTGAGTGTATAATCCACCACACGGGTGCAACACGGCATTGTCAAAACTGGATGCCGCCCGTGCTGTGTTGCGTGCTCATAGCTGACGTCCTAACGTCATCGCTAACATTTCCGTCTGCCGTCCTCGGCAGGTACGACTTCAAGGGCATCATCGACTACATCTTCTACAGCCGCGACACGATGACGCCGCTGGGCATCCTGGGTCCCCTGGACCCCGACTGGCTGCGGGACAACAAGGTGCAGGGCTGCCCGCACCCGCACGTACCCTCAGGTGAGGTAGCAGGGACGGGTACCGCCCCCTCGGTCGAAGGGTCCGGTTTGGGCGACAGCTGGGAGTGTGGAGTGGAGGATGTTCTCTTTTGCAGTGAATGAATATTGCTGCTTTGTTGATAGTTGTGAGGAAAGTATAATTTAGGCTGCTTAGTCTGAAGCAAAAGAAGAAAGAGAAACAGATAAGAAAGAAGTTAAGTTAAGAAGTTAAGAATGGGATTTATCTTGTTGAAACAGTTCATGTGTGCTCGTTTCATTGCGTGCTCCAGTTCGTACGTTGTTCCATGTTTTGGGGTGTCAGGTGCCACAAGTGTTTTTGCGGTCCCCCACAAAGGGGCCTCCGATTTGCCGGTCCCTGTGACCTGTCTGACCGCCGAGTCTGACCTCCCCTCCTCGCTCGTACAGACCACTTTTCGCTGCTGGTGGAGCTGGAGATGTCGCCGGTCCGGAGCGACACGGCCAACGGGCTCATCGCGCACCGGTAGCCACCTGTCGGCCGCCGCCGCAAACACAAGTACCGCCGTCCGCCGGCGGCGGCGCCACGCCACAGTTTTTTACCGGCCGGCCGACCGACCGTCACCGATCGTGTGCCAGCCAGCGCGTGCCAGCGGCGGCCGCCGGGGCAGCGAGAAAGAGAGAGTCCGCGCCCCGGCGGCCGGGAGTGGGAGAGGGAGTGCGTGTCCAGAGCGAGTGGAGTCTAGTGTGGGAGGTGTGCGCGCGGCCCGTCCGTCCGGCCGGCCGGCGGTCCGCAGTGTCCGTCTGCTCGCTGGCTGTCTGTCTGTCTGTCTGTCCGTGTGTGCGCGCGTGCTCTGCGCGGCGGGTGGGGGCGCGCCGCCGTCTGCCGACCCTGCGACTATCCGGCCGCGCCCGGGGCGCCCCGCGCGCGCCCTCGGACGCCCGGGGCGCCGCCGTCGGCGCCCAGTACAAACGTGCACGCCGCGCACACTTCCTGTCGCCGAACCCGGCGCGGCGCGCGGCTGTCTTTCAGAGCCGCCGGCGCCCCGTGCGTGTGTGTGTGTGTGTCCGAGAGCCAGTGTGCGCGCCCGCTGTGTGTGTGTGTGTGTCGAATTTTTAGATCTCACGTACGTACGACGGTCGCGCCGGGCCCGTGCGGGCCTCTTTTTGATCTATTTTACCCTGTCTCTGTTCGTTTGGCGCCGGCGCCGCGGCGAGCGGCGTGCGCATTTCGAGTGGGCTGTTTTATCTGTGCGCGCGTACGTGTGCGCGGGCGCAGTGCTGGGAGGCGGGGTGTGTGTCTGTCTGTGTGCGTGTGTACATATTTTATTCCATTGTGTGCGAGCGGCGGTGTGCGCGTGAGAGGGTGAGCGGCCGTGTGAGAGGGTGAGCGGCCGCGCGCGAGGTCCGAGGGCGGTACAAACTGTGTACAATGGCGGCAGCCGCCCCTGTCCCTCCCTGTACATACAATACAAACACCCGAGAATCGCAAACGCTCTTACTGCTGGGGAGAGGACTGAGAGAGGACTGAGTTGGGATGGGATGGGTTTGTGGCTGGGTTTGGAGACAGGAAGGAAGCTGAAGAGAAAGTCGAGGCGAGCACGACACTGAGTCATACGAACGAAATGCGTCATTTTTAGAGATGCAGGGAAAGAGGCCCCAACTAGTCAAGCCGAACAGGGACCGCCACCCGTGCATGGGAGATGGGCTCGTTCCTTCTCCTTCCTTCCTTCCTTCCCGACCCTAAGAGCCTTCGATGAGTTCAGAGCTGGTCCAAAGAACATTGCAAGACTGACAGGATCATGTTAGAGACGTTGCAGAGCTGACGGGATCATGAGATAGACACTGGATAGTGGAGGGACCATGAGATGAGCGGAGTAGGCGTTGTGAAGGCCCATAAGGGGACCCCGGACCATGCACTCAACTTTTGTGGGCTTGTCGGGCCCCGGGTGCCAGACCGAGTGAAAGGCAATTTAGGACTGATTGAACCCCGCGAGAGGAAGTGTTCTCCCAACCCCTCCCCACGACATCCTAGAGCATAGACCCGGGAACAGGGGGGGCAGCGGGGGCGCTTGCCCCCCCCCCCCAACTTGAGAGACGAGGGGGCGGTGCCCCCTCAACATTGAGGCAGCGTGAAAGGATCTTTCCTCCCTTTTCCGGACTTATTTCCTTATTGTTTCCTTTAAACATCAACACACGGCATTTTCTTACCCATCTGAATGGTTTCTGCTGATACAGTACAGTATCGATTTGACAATATCTGCTATTGTCATCCCGCTTTGGTTTGGGCCTGGCCTTGGCCACCTAAGTTTGGCAGGCCATATTTTACATGTATAGTGTATACTACTGTCCAGTATGCTGTATAATGTATACTGGACCATTTTGAGTCAACTTTGAGAAATACATACATAGCGTTCAACGGTGGTAAAATCGTTGCCATAGGTATAAATAACACAGTTTACCCGCTCCGGGTGTGAGGGAGGGGTGTGGGACAATGAATGCACCGACGTGGCGCCCTCGGAGGGCCGGTATGGGATTAAAGCTCAGCGACACTAAGGGCTTGTGTATTGCCTTCGGTTATCGGTAGCACCCTCAGAATCACCGGCGTAGGGCCCTCAGAGCCGCCGGTAAGGGGCCTTTAGAGACACTAGTGTGGGCCGTCATGCAGGTGCCGGTGTGGGCGCTCAGAGGTGCTAGTGTGATTCTCTCAGACGCGCCAGTGAGGGTCCTTACAGGCGTTGCTGTGGGCCCTCATAGACGCTGGTGCGGAGCCGTTACAGAGGGGTGTGGGTTCTTTAGAGCTGCTGGCGCGAACCCTCTAGGTATAGTCTCTCTTGAAAGTATCGCGTCCTGGGCTGCGGTGGCTCAGCGAACTATTCCATTCAGTTTGAGGACCCCAGTAGGGAGGTCATGGCCTGTATCATAAAAAGTACGCTGTATGTAACACGATTTCACGCCAGCGCGGCGGTAGAAGGAAAACTGCTATATGACGCAGGCCACAGGCGGAGGCCGGCCAAAGGTCATACTCGTATTGCTCTCCCTTGACCCCGTCCATCGCCCCAGGCGGATACCGGTGCCTCTTGGGCTCACCAGCCGGGCGCTCATTGGTGTGCCTTACTGGGCGCCAATCACTTAGTGTGCGTGACGCGTAAAATCACAACGAAGCGAAGTTCCGCCATAACCCTTACTGTCATGAGGCCTTCTGAATGACGTTAACAGGTCATGCGGGGAGGGGAAGCCTGGCATCAAATAAGTTTTTAAAAAAGAACATGGCTGAACAGCATTATGTTTTTTTTTTGTCGTCGTTCACTAACCGGCTCATTAAAAAGAGAGAACTTCAAATATAGGACTAAATGGCTAGACAGCGAATTGGCGAAATGGTTAGAGAGATAATTCTTGTTTTTGAATCCGCTTACGATACGAGTGCATGTGCGAGCACGGATGCATTCTGTTATCGGGTGCAACTGATGATTTTTTGGGTATTTGGGCACGGGTTTCCGGATTTTACCAAAAACCTGTGACAGTCGTGCTGATGACGAGTCAAATTGCTAACTTTGCAATGAAACAAATCTCGACAAATCCTCTGCGAGTATAGGGTGGCTTCCGTTGACCACATGCTTAGCTGCCATCACCAGTTAGCGGACGATGCGGACAGCACCCACCTCCCCCTATCCCTCCGCAGTCCGTAACCACTCCCCTCGGCCCGCCGCGCTGGCTGCCTCCGCGTGTCAGGCTTCGGTCGGTCAGTGCTAACAGCGGCTCTCAAACCTTTCCGCTCAACCGCGGCTGAGACAGGTGGCGCCTTCCCTCAGAGTCGCGATACTTTCAAGAGAGACTATACAAGTCGGTAGGGGGTTCTCAGTGACCGGCAAGGGGCCCTTAGGTCGGCAGAAGAAGTCTTGTGGGGTCCTTAGAGACCGGCATGGTACTGTCAGACGCCGGTGGGGCCGTCAGGGCTCAGAGTCACCGGCCCTCAAAAGTCACCAGTGGGTGGTGGTGGATGCGCAGGTGTTGACTGTTGGGTCCTCAGAGCCGCCGATATAGGGCTTTAATAGGCACTGGTGTAGAGTGTAGACACTCAGAGTTTGGGGTGTGAAACGCTCAGCGACACCGGAGTGGGCCCTCATAGGCGCTCCCACAGTTGCCGTTATGGGGCCCTCAGAAAAATAAGTGTGTGACCATCACAAGCGGGAAATTCCCCTAGAACTGGCTCCTCATAGGCCGGTAAGAACTCTCAGAGGCCAGTAACGGGCCTTTGGAGACCACTGAGGGGCCCTTAAAATCTACAAGAGGCCCTCAGAAGCCGGCGTGGGCCCTTATGGAGATCTTAGGGTGGTTATTTAGGGCCCATGAGGTGCTCTAACGAGCCCCATCGGGCCCTTCCGAGTCGAAATATGGCCATCGTTAACCCTCAGCGGTCAAATGGCGCCGCAGGGCCTCTCGGACCCGAGGGTCCCTTTGAACCCAATGGGGGGGGGGGGTACGTGTCCCCTTAGACCCCTAGCTACGCCACTGCTTCATATGCATCATGTCAGGTATTTTAGGCTCGCCCCCCCCCAACTTGAAAATCGTTCCCGGGCCCCTGTCCTAGAGTGTGAAGCTGCATGCATGGTATTAGCAGGACTTTTACTGCTCGTTACTTCTTCGGAGTCTTGTTCTGGATGACAATTTACAACCACCCGGACCAGCCATGATGCTCTCCGTCCGATCGAGAACACTAGTGAAGATGTGACGCATGTAATGTATTACAAACAATGGCATGGTTCATCCAGGTCCGATGCAGACGTACACGGTGATCAAAGTAAAAAATAAGCGACACAGCATAAAAATAGTAAAATAATCGCTTCTTACACATCAGTGATTGCAGTGGTCCCAGCAAAGATAGCATTTCGCGCAGGAATCGGCGAGGGGCGGCACCAGCAGAGGATAACACCGCGCGGCCCGTCTCCCGGGAGTGGAGATCCGATGGCGGCGGAGGGCGACTAGTTGGGACTCGTCTCCTTCAGTGACCTCAGTCAGCGGCGAGAGCCGACCGATGGCGACCACCCGGCAACGGCGCCCGGTTCGGCTCGGGTCCCAGGCCGCGCCAGACGAGTGCTTGAGAGTCTGTCAGATGCACGGTATGCCTGAAAACCACACAATGACAGGGCCAGTTGTCACTCGCGGAAAGGCTGAGGCCCTTCTAAAGACACTGCTTCTGGGAGGTCGAACCAGGGGAGATGATATAAAGTAATGTACAGTAGAATGCGAGGGGAGATATATGTCAGAAGAACGGTGGGCGAATGCAATGAACAGTTCTGGTAAACAAGCACGTTGCATAGCAAAGAGGATCAGTGCAAAAGGAGGTATTTACATGTGACTCATTACAGAAGCACAATATGCCGAAAATCCAAATCACTTTTACATACCTGAACAGTCTGGCATCAGCAGTAGAGTCCTCCAGCCCAGCAGTACCCGCCAGTCCACCGGCGGGGTCCTCCAGCAGTATCCGTCAGTCCACCGGCGGGGTCCTCCAGCAGTCTACCAGCAGTCTGTCAGAGGCCTCCCACCGGTCGCGTCAGGGACGCCGGTTGCTGGAGGTGATGTCAGAAACGACAGCGCTGAGCTAGTCTTTTTCAGCTCCGCTCTGTGCTAAACGCCGACTTGACGACCTTACCGCCTAGACCAGTCTGACGTGGAGGTGATCACAGAGCGTCGTCGCTGGTGCAGCGACACGTCATCCCGGGAGGTCAATTCCTGTATGTGACCGGGATCCGCTGACGGCAGCGCCTGACACGGTACCACCCCGGGATCACGAGTCATCCCCGCCTGCAGTGCGCCAGTTCTGCCACCCCGCGTCACCTCTTCAGGTCGATGTAGCACCGTCGCCTGAGGAGAGACTCGGGAAACACTGGCCCGCGGTGAACGGCGCTCGAAGACCGCGACGATCTCCACGCCAGAGTCGCTGGAGAAGTTCCGAGCCGCTACGGTTGACGTCTGAGTCACCTCTTCTCCGAGTTCCTGGGAATGCCTCACAGCCACTCCTTCATCGCGCGGAGACGCCTCCGTTGCATGCTCACGAGGGGAGTCCCGGAGAGCTTCTTCAGTCACAAACCCTACACCCTCCTCAATGTCGGTCCGCCTGGGCTGGCCAGACAGTGATGTCGTGTACGGTTTGCCTGGGCCTGGCCCTCCCTCGAAGTCCCGACACTCCAGGATTTCTATACTGAGCACAGAGTCGTTGGACTTTCCGGAGCATCTACGACGGGTGCTCTGGTTGGCGTAGGAATCAGACAGTCGAACAGTGTCCAAGGAGGCAGCATCATCTGCTGTATGACGGGAGCCGGAGGCAAAAAGGGCTGCCACCTCGGCATCCTCATCCGTTGCTGTGTAGTTGGGCTGACGCTGGTGCTGAGGGTGGTATGTGAAGGGCCGTCTCCAGACTGGCATTGCCGCTGGGTGGCCTAAAGTGAACGAGGGATAAGGGAAAAACGGCGGGAAAGGAACTGGCACTGGGTGGAGTTGCAAAAAGTTCGGATTAAAGCAAGGATACATTTGTTGGAAACTCGGGAGATGATCAGATAAGGAAGGTGGCTCGACGATCTCATCACTTTGCTCTGAGGAACTTTCCGTAGTTGTTTCTCCTTCGCATATATCCTGATCCCGATCAGAGCACTCCAGATCAGAGTCTTCCACTAAAGAGTCCACAGAACTTTCAGTGGTATCTGTAGTGAATGCTGAAGGCGTCGGCGTCTCACTTGTCTCTAGCGACGACGGCGTTAGCATCCCGAAGTAGACGGGAGGTGGCCCGACTAGAGCGACTTCATCAGACGATGCGTCGGAGGAGACAGTGCCCAAACGAGGTCGCTGTGCTCTAGAAGATCTGCCAGAGTTTGGCGTCAGAGCCTCCTCAGATTCATCATCGGGCCATTGGTGTGGAGAGGGGGTCGACACGACGAAGGGCGAATCAGCGCTATCCGAGCTCGACTCCGTGGATGTTGTGGCGACGATGTGATCTCCATCGCTGACGTCTGCCTCGCCCCATGTAATTTCACGGTCTTTGTCGAAAACAGTCGTCGCCGTCTCTTCGTCAACGTCAAATCCCGCAACGCCTGCTTGAAATCCTCCTCGATACGCCGTTAACACTTCGTCCTTAACGTCTACAGCTCGTGATGTTTCCCGCTCGCCGCTGCAGCCACCACAGTACGTCACTGTCGTTGCGTCGTCAATGTCTTCCGCCAGATCTCCCTCAGCAGCACTTTGGGCGTCTGTCTTGGCATCTTTACAACGACCTCTTGCCTCATCCCCAACATAGGACATCGGCAGCATCGATGCAGAACAAGACAGCGACCGCGGTGAACATTGCGACATAGACCGGGAAAGCTCCCCATCTTCATCAGGAAAGGAGTCCGAGGAAATCAGACTGTAGTGAGGGGACGCCGGGGGAGGTCGCTGGTCACTTGCAGGCGTCACCGGTAGGTGAGATATGGCGGAGGAGGCATTGCTGTTAGTTAAATTATCGGGCTTTGGTATGTTTGACCAGCCCTTCATTGAAGTAGAGCACATTTTCTCTTGACCTCTTGCAAAACGACTATGGCATTCGTCCAGCTGCTGTTCTTTACGGTCCCCAGAACTCTGGTATTCTCCTTCTGCCCCCAGCCTGTCATCATGTCCCGGGGATCCGGGATCAGAGTGGCCACCGTTCTCGAAGAGCCCAGTGTTGGAGCCACGAGAGCTGCGAGTAGAACGGATAAGGCTTTCTGACATCCGCTTAGGTCGGGAGTCCTGTGGCGCAGCTGTCCGCAGTCTCTGAAGCCCCGTAATAGCAGCCGAGACCGGGGGACGGTGGTTCTGATGTCTCCACTCGACACCGATACCTTCGTCCGTCGGGACATTGCCAGCAAGATCGACCAGGCCATGCGGGGTCGAAGCTTGCCTACTTCGGGGTTGAAAGACTTCCTGGATCTGAGAACCATCGACACGGGCGATTCTTCTGCTGCCAACGCCAGACACCATCCGAGTCGTCGATGGTATTCGATGGTAGACGCCTTCACATGCGTCCGTGTTTTTCGTGCTCAACATTGTTGTCCGGTCTCCCGTCGTCAAATGTGTTAAAATCTCCCCATAATCTTCCCAACAACCTACACCTAGACCCCGATCCTCTCCCACGGTCGCCTCGCGTTCTTGCACAGTGGCGAGGCCTCCAGAGGACCGCCTTCGCCTTTTGTCGCTGCCGCTCTCCGCCACTTGCTCCCCAGCAAACTCGCTGGAGTCGCCTTCTTCGGCCTCGTCGTGGGACCGTTTTCTCCCCGCCGCGTCATCGTTCGGATCAGAGACGAGTTGACGCTGCAGTCGCAGCGCCAGCCGCGTCAACTGCAGCTCCAGCTCCGAGTCGGAGTCGCTGCGACTCTCCGGGTGGCCGGACTCTGCGCAGTCCTCCCGGAGTTGGTCGGAGTAGCGGACGGCGACGTCGGCCAACACGGCCCGAAGACGCTCACTGACCTGAAGCAGCAGTGAGGGCGTAGGTGAGGACGTATGGAGCAGGTATGTAAATGTGTTGCAGAGAAAAGGTCCGTTTGGAAACTCCATGTCAGGTAAGGTCCTGTTAGGCATATTCACTACGCTTAAATGAAAACTCCGTAACTAAGAGAGCAAAATGGATTTCCGTAAGCAGAAATAAGTTTTGGAAACGTTATATGTGCAACACCTCTGAATCTCAACAAAAAATGAATGAATCGTTTCAATAACTAACCATGCATTATGCAGTCGGCCATGCAAGCAAACATCAACGCAGAATCTACGCCACGGTGATACCATTAATTTTAAAACGATACACGCCCATTCGCAAAATACCCCGAAGACGGAAGCCCCATAATGTCACGACGCACCGGGCGCGAAGAGAAGAAGTAAGAAGTGACCTACCCACCCGCAGGCAGGCGGCGGAGCGTTTGTGGGCGATCCTCTCTCCGGCGCTGTGGAAGGTCATGCCGCAGTGGGAGCAGGTGGGGCTGCTGCCATTCCGGTTTCCTCTCGCTCGGCCGTTGTCCGAACTCCCACCAGCGCCCTGAGGAGGTCAGATGTCACATGTGAACGGAGCACAGAAATGGAACGCTGGCATTTCAGAACTATAAAAATGAACGATCGATCATCAAACTTTAAAAGCTATGTCAAAACATGACAACTTATGCCACGTACATTTCCAGCAGTCTGTATAATGATAATGCTAAGCTGTTTTATATCATTAATTGCCTCACCTTTACGAGACAAAGAAAAAGTACAAGAATGGTGCATCATCGACACTAGCGATTTCATCAGAACAACATCATTGTTATGGTAACGATGGACACTGAGCATTTGATAAGTTCTTATTGATAAACGCACAGCGAAGATTGGAAGCCAAGACGGGAACGGAGGGAGTTCGGGAGATTACCAGAACTGTTCAACGGGTGATGCAGCCAAGGAGCGAATCAGGATGGTAAAAGTTCGGCCCGGGAGAAGGAACGAAAGGATCGGCAGGACGAAGGACAGGATGCCTGCATTCATCTTACCGGTTTCAGTACAGACGTTCGCAGAGCGCATCCTGGGTTGAGTCAGGGACTGGCATGGATGAGGGGACGGCTATCTCAGGACTGAGCCTGTGGCAAGGCAAGTGTCCAGTTTGAGTTGGTAAAACAGAGCATTCGCATGTGACGATGGAGGCAGCTTAGGGGCTGGTCGCCGAAAGGCAATTTGGCGGCTCTACGGATGGAATAAGCAGATAGATCGGCAGGTGTTGAGGTCACACCAGGGAAGTGTGTATGTTGAGTTCCTAATAGCCCCAGGGCCATTTAGCTGGTTGGTGCTGGGTAGATTGCTCGGCCGGGTTCAGAGCTGGCCACTGGGCAGGCGGAGGAATCCAAAACTGCGGAGTTTGGCTGACCGGAGGAGCTGACGGGGTCCCCACAAATGGTCCGGTCGGGTTTTGGAAAATGTTCTGCGGTAGTTGTCCGGCGAGAGGTTCACCATGTTGTTCTTGTTGGATAAATCGCGACATTTCCGTCAATTCTCCCAAGCTAGGGTCTCCTCCAGCCCTTGCCATGCCCAGCATTTCGACGGTTTGCGAGTGTGATGATGCGATGGAGCCGTCTGCCGACACAGACTTTCGAGCGCGAGAGGTTCGATGGACTGATGCCTTTGGAGAGTGCTGGCGAGGTGCGGACGTCCGTAACACGGGTAGGTCTAAGGAAGGCGCCTGAACGGATGCGTTAACAGGACGGAAAGGCTGATAAGAAAGTCGTGGCCGCAGGATGCTCTGACTGGTGGCAGAAGCACGAGTCTCTGGAGGTCCCGCATCGTTTGAGAACTGATCGGTCATCCTCGTTCCGGTCGCCTCTAAGGTATGAAGTGCCTTTTCCGAGCTTCCTGAAAGAGGAGACCTTGAGTTTCCGTCAACAGACCGCAGGGCTGGCAGAGGCTTACCATATGTCGTTTCTTCTTTGTCTTTCTTTGGCAGTCGTCTCCGCTTAGCCTCCTTAGGAGCGCAAGACTTCTTGCTCCTGCAGCCCTTTGGAAGTTCCTGAAAGATCGTGAGTGGTGAGCCCTGCGATGTGCTGGAGGATGTGACGCTGGAAGCAGACGCGAGCGACGGTGCTGGGCTAACTTGTGACCGCTGAGATCTTTTCGTGGAACCCGAACATAGCTGTTGTGAGGAGTTCAGAGCTGACTGGTCTTTTCTCCTTGCGCCAGTCCCAACCTGCTGTGATTGGCCCTGCGCGCACTTTTGAACGGCCGGCTGGGGCAGGTCAAGAGCAGGGTAGGAGAACCACGAGCGCGTAGAGGGTGCGTCCGGGACTGCAGGGTGCCTCGCCATCGGCACATGCATGGGCACCGCAAGGTGCTGCGACACCGGCAGAATCGCGCCTGGATAAGGTACGCCCTGATTTTGAGGCAACAGCATACCCACGTTGGGCGCCATGTTGGGGTAAAAGACTGCTGGTTGGGCAAGCTGTGGTGGCCACCCTTGATACTGCGGAAGAGACATGTTCAGATACTGAGCTGCGGGCTGTCCAAGAGGCTGATAAGCTGGAGGACCTAGATTCTGCGGTACTGGCGAGGCTGAATGCTGGAATAACTGCGGACTGGGATTCTGGAACAAGGTCAAGTTCTGGTACCAAGGTGTTTGTGAACTCGCTTCCCTGGCCGTGGGTAGCATGGGCTGCTGAGTCGCTGGTGGTGGGAAGCTGGGCAAAACTGGATGCTGAGGAAACGGCGGGCGAAGGGCCGGAGGCGCTTGCACACTTGGCTGACCGTTTCGCTGAAGATACTGGGACGCCTGTAATTCTGAACGTTCAGACAAGTACATCGCTTGCTGTGCCATATACCATTGGAGATACAGATCCGACAGCTGGGCTGCGTGCACCGAAGGACTTTGTGACGCCATCACCATTGGGTCTGGAGGCAGCAGCACTGCCGGGAAAGAAGTGTTGGGCTGCTGCGGAGCAGCGACCTGCTGGTCAGCCGGTGGCCTTGGTCGAGCCTCAGCTCGTTCGTTGTTATAGGGGTGCACAACTTGAGAGCGGACCCTCTGAGTCTCTTCGGTGCTTTCTATCATTCTCTGCGCAAGTGACTGTACCTTTCTCTTGGCAACGGCTCCACGTGATACTTCAGTGCCCGCTGAGGAAACTTGGTTTCCAGACATGGTGGCAGCTTCCTTGTCACGGGACGCCTCATGTTTGACATTTTTCTGGATACTATGCTTTTCAGCCTCCTTGACCACCTGCCAAACAGGCTCTCTGGCACGGACGGGTGAGTTGGCATTCTCGCAGGGTAAAGACGTTTCCTTGATCAATGGCGGAGCATTCTCTCTGTTACCCAATGGCGTGTCGACCTTGTGCTCTTGGGTGGTAGAGCTACCCTTTAGGAGGATGGTTTTTGTGTCTTCAGCTTGAGTCACTTTTTGCTCGGCAGATAAGGTTATCTCCTTTACAGGTGGCTTATCATCCTCGACACATGCCTCCGCGGATACTCGAGAAACTGTCAGCTGCTCCGCGCGAAAAGATGCCAATCGCTCGTAGGTCTGGGCAGGCTCCACGGTAATGGTTTCAGGGATTGCTACAGGATCACTACAGGGACTGCTGCCTTGAGCAGGGTCTTCCGGAGCATGAAGATGTGAATCGGAAGACAGGGGCGAAGTAAGACCTCTCGTGCAAGAAGTGGTACATTGTTCGGATGATTTGGGCTCCTCTAAAGAACCACGAAGCTCCACTTCAGGATAGATTGCCTCATTGCCCCATCGCTGACCTGGCTCAAAAGCCGGTGAGTTGGTATTTTTATGCGAATGCTGTATGACTGGCTGCCTGACACAGGACTGGGAGAGTTCACCAACAGAGGACGCAGATTGGGTCTGGGGATGGAGTGCAGCTGGCTGCTTGGTCTGCATTGGAGAGACGGAAGAATGAGTGTGAGATGAGATTAACTGAGGAATCTGACGAGGACCAAGGGGTGGCGGGGAAGGATCTTGTTCCTCTGTAGACACGCGGACCACATGGATGGTCTTCGTCCCGGTCGTTCTCACCATAGCTGGACGAACCTCCTGAAAACACACAAGTGACGAACAATTAAACGGAATGTGCCGAACATGGAGACGGGAGCATAAAAAACATTGTTGTTAGCAAGGCAATGTCTGAGCTAAAAACTTGTATCAAGTCAGACATTCAACGGCAGGGTTGAGAGAAGACGATATTGATCTTTGCTGCATAAAATTACATTGGCTGATATTACGTACATGCATTAAAAAAGGCTTGAATGTGACGCACTGTTCTAAGTATTTTTTCTTTTCTTAAGAAACGGCCAAAACTACTGGCGGCAGTGCTTGCCAAAACTCGCTAAGTTGCTCACCTGCATTGGATGCTCGGTCGATGCGTTCATCGATGAATCGGCGCTGAGGTTTGAGGCACGCTTCTTCCGATAGTGAAGTCCTGTTCGGGCCTCCTCGAGAACGTCTTCCTCTTCACCTGCAGACTTCTTACTCAGGTCCTCCGCGCCCTGCATGGCGCCGTCTTCGTGAACCAGGGGGGCCTCGACGGCGGGCGGCGGAGACACAGACTTCATGCTGAGATCATCTGTGTTCCGGTGGGCCCCCTCAGTGTCTCTGTGAGGGCTCTTTACTTGCTGGTGGGTCTCTTGCTCTTGGTTTGGGTGCTCACAACGGTCTTGAAGAGCATCAGGACCTTGGGCATGATACTCAGGAGTTTGATAGCTACCCCAGGGCGAGGGGTAGGGACCTTCTTCGTCTTGATGCGCACTACCAGGCACGTGTTGCCGTTGAGGCACCTGGGCCGCAGCATGCTGAGCGTGATGTTGGGGAATATCGCGACTCCTAGCGAAACTGGCAGCTTCCAAGCGATCGTTCTCATATCCGATATCAATTGGTTTCACGTCTGAATGAGATGAGCCCGCGATCGATTGATGATGTCCTGCCATCCCAATGGATTCCTGTCCTTCATGAAAGTTTATTGTCTCCTGTAGCAAGCTATCCAGTTCACGAGGATCCGCGTCTCCCTGATGAACTGCTTCAGCTGCTGTCTGTTGCCACTCTTGATCATGACCGCACTCTACATTCTGCTGTTTTTCGAAGTTCTGATAATGGTATTCGGTTCCGACGTGAAGTTCCTGTACCTCCAGGCGCAAAGCCTCCTCACCACGTCCAGGTCTCGCGATTCCCGGACGGAGTGTCTCTGAGTCGTGGTGAACTTCCCTGGTGTCGAGAGGAAGCGATCCCGTCTGGTAATGAGTTGCTGCAGCGTCATGAGGTATCTCCGTTGCGCGATAAGATCTTTCGGTGTCATGGTGAGAATGCGAAAGTCCGTGTCGACGTTCATCTGCGCCAGGATGAGCTGCTTCCATGTCGTGATGAAGTTGTTGGGTGTCCTGGTGAAGCTGCTCAGGGACATGATGAGGCCGTTCTGTGCCATAATGAAGTCGCCCCGAGTCATAATGAAGTCGCTCCGAGTCATGATGAAGTTGCCCGGTGCCATGATGCACTAGTTCCGTGCTATGAGGTAGTTCAGCTCCGTGTGGTCCGGAGAGGCCCTGGCCATGACACTCTGCCCTTGGTTGCTGATGAATCTCGGCGTCAAGACGTTCTGCAACGCCCGGAAGATCATCAGCAGTCTCATGAGGACGGCCAGCTGCCTGCTGATATGCTGGAACATTCTGAAGAGTCTCCTGTGGCAGAGGCTCTGCCGGCCGTGGCAGTTCCACGCTCCTGTGGCCGTAGCTCCTCGGCTGCTCCATCAGGTTTCTGAGCACAGCATGGGAACTTCCCGCCTCCTGCTGAAGTGCCGCCGCTCCCTGAACTGAGTCCTCCGCTTGAGCCATGGTTTCTTCACTTACATCATCCCGAGACTGGTGAGGGCTCTTCGAGCTCCTCGACTTCCGAGGAGACCGTCTCGCACTTTCGCGTCCAGTCATTCTCGAGTCCCGACGGGGGCTTCTCGAATCCTGACGGTAACTTCGAGGACTCTGACGGGGACTTTTAGGCTTCCGACGAGGACTTCTAGAATTCTGACGGGGGCTTCTCGACGGCCGACGGCGTTCTGCTGGTTTCTCGGGAGTTCTCTCTGGCCCCCGCGGTCGACCGGTGGAAGAAGGGCCTTCCGCAGACGCTGAACGTCTTGCAGCTCCGCTCTCGCTCTTTTCTAAGTTGAATCTTACGCCAGATGGTCCGGCTGAAGCGGCGGTCCTGCGGCAGAAAAAATACATACGATTGTAAGAAATGCATAGAGTGCGATCGCGAGTACCTACATTACCGATTTTTCTAGCTATGTGATAGTGATTCAGCATTTACCGCAACTTTAGAACAGAAATTGATCTACAGTAACCTGAGAAAAAAAATATTCAAAGTTAACAACGCTACCCCAGATATTTCAGCGACTCCGCCGTAAGCTTAGCCAGTCATATTGGTAACCTACCCGCTGGCCCTGGCGCTGTCCTTGTGTGGGGAGACGGTGGTCCAGCAACATGAACCGTCCGCCGTCTTCGCGCCCACACGGTAGAGTTTGAGCGGAGTTCCCTGGCGCGGTGACGGGCCAGGAGACCGCCCGTCGCCTCCTGCAGCGATCCGTTCTGGTGTCCCTGGGACGCCGGAGGACGTCGTCGCCCGACTCGCAGAAGAAGTCGACGCGAGACCAGCGGAGGAAGTCCTCGCAAGGCCGGCAGATGTCTCCGTCGTGGGCCCGGCAGATGTCTCCTCCGCAAGACCGGCAGAAGGCGCGGTAACGGGACCGGATGGAGGCGTTGCAATTGCGGTAGCAATTCCGGAAGAAGATGTTACGGCTGCCGTTCCGAGCGATGACGTCGCTGACGCCATCCGCCCTCCTGCTCGACTCTGTGGCTCCGAACGTGCCGCATTCGCAGCAGACGCCGACACCTCCGCAGCAGCCGTGAACGTTTGTGCAGCTGCTGCCATCGCCTCGGCCGCCTCCGCCGCCTGACACAGCAGGCCCAGTCCAGTGGCATGGGTCTCCGCAACAGCCTGGGTGGAAGCTTCGGAAACACTGGAAGCTCCGAAGACGTTGGAAACTCCGGAGACGCTGGAAGCTCGGGAGGCCTCCGCAGGTTCAGCAGAGACGCTGGCGAAGGCCGAGCGCGGGCCGGCGGTCAGCGGGCTGCTGGGAGGTCTCCTCGTTGTAGAAGTTGACCGGGAACGACGCGCGGGCGGCCGCTTCCGCCTTTGCGACGCCGGCCTCGGCGGCTGCGGTCTGCTGGCCTCTGGCCTCGCGGCTGCTGCCAGAGCCTCAGGCAGCCGCTCGACGACTGGACACAGCAGAGGTGGCCCGAAGGTGGGCGAGGCGCTAGCCGAGGAGGCGGCCGGAGTGCTGGCCTCCGGACTGCCGAGCCGCGGCGGCTGAGAGTCCGTCTCGGTGTCCGCCCAAGGAGCGGACGCGCTACCCTCCGGGGTACTGACCACCGAAGACACTGATGAGACGTCCACGGAGCCGCCGGCGGGTCGGGAGGCACCCGCGCTGCGACTGGCCGCCGCCACCGCCAGCCGGATCTTGTACAGCTGGCCTAGGGACGGACCGGCTGTGGGCGTGCTGACACGAGAACCCAGCACCGGCAGGTCCAGTCCCTCGCGGCTCCCACCGGCGGCCACGTTCGGAGTCGCGCTGTCTCGACCTCCAGATGCAGCGGAAGTCGACGGGCCCCCTGCGGCGGTGGACGGGCCTCCGCTTGATGTCGACGCTCCTCCTGCAGAGGTGGACGCTCCTCCTGCAGAGTTGGACGCTCCTCCTGCAGAGGTGGACGCTCCTCCTGCGGACGTGGACGCCCCTCCTGCGGCCACCGGGACCGGGCCTCCTCCAGTGTCCTCTGGGGCAGGGTCGAAGCACAGAAGCCGCGGTGAGCTCTGCGACTTCCGCTTGGTGCCGCGCCGGAGGCAGTCGGGCGGATCCCGCGGCAGGATCCGGCTGAGGTCGTGCGGAGGCGGATCCGACTCGACCTGGCGCGTCCGGCGGGTCGCGTAGCCGCCGCGCCGGCCGCCCACCGCCGCCGACGTCTCGAAGTCGGGGTCCGAGGAGCCAGAGGACTCCCTGGTGCGGCTACGGCTCTGGCTCTTCTTCTTGTTTGTCTTGTCTTCTTCGTCGTCCTGTCGGATTAGACGACGACGGTTAGTGTTGGTTTTCTTGCGTCGTTACCAAACGCTGACCAATCGTATCAAGTAAGTAAAAAAAAAAGAGAATTGTAGTGATCGGCATGCCTAGACATTATAAGTGACCATCCCGCCTTACTATAAGTTTTGAGTTTAGATAGCCTAATCGGGGTCCCTGGCTTGCAATTACCAGTTTGGGCACTCACAACATCGAGATATACTTTGATTCGGAGATATTTAATTTCAAAGTCTGCTGTTTTCCATTTCCGGATTCTAAGAGGCTAATGCATTTGAATGCCCCATAGACAGCAGGAATGCCCCAAACTCTCCCATCAGATCTAGCAATTTTTAAATCTTATACTAAAACCTTGGTAAAAGACAATTGTTGCTTTGGCGGTGCATGCTACTTAACGCGCAACATCTGTCGCACTTTTAGGATGCCAAATTATTGCTTCCAAATGACGTCCTAGAACAGCGACGTCCCCCCAAAAAAATACACAAAAATACCCCTCCGCGCACCACTGGAGGGGCTATTTATAGCCCCCCCCCCCTCCCGTTTTTCTGCAATAACGTCTAAACTGCTTGAAGTATCGCCGCCAAACTTTCAGTACCTTCGGCTGCATCCATTTGATACCTTGTGTCAAAATTTGAACTTCGTATCTATCATAGGTCGGCCGAAAATGACGTCACAGTGACGTCATGTTCGGCCGATTTCGACGCAAAACATTGAACCAGGGGAATCGCTCCCAAGAGCTGAGTTTTAAAGCTAGATCCAATTTCTTTGCATGAGAGGACTCATTATGGACTGCGCTATCAAACTATTATCTCGGATTTTTAAAATGTAGAAAATTGTATATATTAAAATAAAAAATTTGTATATTTATCCTTTTTCAAAAACTTTTTACCTTTTCGAAAATCTAGCAAGTTTTAACCAGATATCTTAAAAATGGCCAAGTTATACGCATTATAGCAAACAGTTCACAACAATACATTTTCAAATCAATTTTTCAGTACGAATTGGACATCGTACATCAATATAAATAGCACAATCGTGTTCCTGAGCTCAAACTGCCTCCGATACATGTTTTATGTTGAAAAATTTCAACTTTAAAATTTGACCTTTTTAACCGAAAAGTGAAAGTGGCCTGGCCTAAGCTAAATTCAACTCAAAATGACCTGGAATTACATAAACGACATCAAATTCGAAATCTATGGCCTAAATGAACCATAAAACATGTGTCACGTGACCGACTTATGGTATAAGATTTCCGTGACCTGTGATGACCTGACCTTGACCTAAAAATCGAAGTACAAGTTTGGTACCCACAGGTTATCTAAATCATCTGTTCATGAGTGTGAGACCAAAAATCAGCCTGATCCGACTTGTAAGCCGGCAGCCAGTGCCCAAAATGTGAGCAAGCCAAACATCGAGAATTTTTACTTTGACCTGACCTGTGACGTCATCGGTGACCTCGAAGTCAATAAAATTAGGTTTCGTTCAACAGTTTTTTTCCGGGGATATCAGATGCTGTTTGAATTTGAGGATCGGCTAGTAGTTTCGGAGTTAGGAGGGAGGGGGGGCTATGAATAGCCCCCCCCCCCCCAGTACGGCGCGTTATACACAGACCCCAGTGGGGCGCGGGTTAATCCTGCAGGCCCTAACTTCCATGTAGGCGAGTTTTGTCTAGCTACTTTGGAAAGTGGTTTAATTCTTCGTGGAACATTATCACTACATATTTTGAGTTCGAAAAACTAGTAGGGCAAAGTGGACCACCGCAATTTTTCTTTCTTACTCAAGAGCCACTTACCTACTTGATGCTTCCAAGAACATTTTTAACGTCCTTAATTCATCTGCTAGCTACAACGAATTCAATTTTAGCCTATCGCATTTTTCTGAGTTTTTTTTTTCGATAAAGGGGCGAGTGTTTTAATTAATGGTCCACCGAAATATGTACTATTGTGCTTATGTGACGGTAGTGCGGATGTTGACTTAGGTTCGTATCTAAACTTAATTTTGGTATACATTCCATGCTAAAATTAGAAGGGAATTGAAAATATCACATTTCTGGCCCTGGGTTGAAACCGTTTATTCCTAGAGCCGAGCCATTGTGACAAGAAATGTGCCAACATAAAGCATTGTTAATGGCTATCTTTGTTTTCGAAAGTGGCCATTTATGGGGGCTTCAATGGGGTGGTTCGCTTTGCCCCAGAGGTCCGCTTTACCCCACTCTTCCCTACCTATTCATTCACTTTTGCTCTCTATGAACCACGGCATCACTTTGATGTCAATTCATTAGCTTTTTTTGAAGGTGCGAGGGTTTTTGAAACCCTCGACCGTATTGGTTTTTTGCCAGCCGCGAACGTATAGGGGGAGGGGGGAGGGGGTCTGACGACCCCCCCCCTAGCCGCGTCGCCCTGATCGAGCTAGAGCTTCGCGGAAAAAAACGAGCGTGTCGCCCGTCACGAGAGGAAGCCGATGACACCCAATTTTTATCATGTTAGTTTTGATCAGCGATGTTGCATTAATGCATTTAGGCTAAGTCGGGTCAGGTCAGGTCAGGTCAACAAGTAGGGGTCCTGCCGGGTATTCATAGTAGGTGTCAACCGCCTCTGACAGCTTCGCAACATGTTACGAAGGCACCAAAACTATTTCATAAATGTTCAAATGGTTGCTAAATTCGAATTCAGCTCCAAAAACTAGCATAGAAACATAAAAAACTCCAAAAAGTGAACCGAGGTCATCAAAGGTCAATGACCTGACCTGACCTTTAGGTGACCTTAACATGCCCCTAATGCATGGGAGCAACATCATCACATGTTTGAACGCTTGAAACCATGAAAAGACTGCAAAAACGCGGCTTATACGAGCCGACATATGCCGAAACGCGATTCCGGCTAAACATGGTCTCGAAAAGTAGCTCACAGGTCAAAGGTCATGCGGAGTCTGAGTCTCTTAACCCTCGCCCCGCGGGGGGCAATTTGGCCCCCTGTGATTTTTCCTGAATAGCAAGAAAACGGCGGCGCGGAGCGCCGCCAAATTTTCAGTACCTTCCCGGGCATCAATTTGACACCTTCACACAAAATTTCAAGTCTTAGGTCACCTTAGGTCAGGAGTTATTGAGGTCAAACTGAGGTAATGTTCGAGCAAAAATGACCAAAAACATGCAATCTTTAAACGCTCACCAAATCTAGAGTTACAAAGCAATTTCAAAGTTCTTTATATGGTCATGTAGACAAAAAGCGGCGCTACAAAACTATTATCTCGGATTTTCAAAATTTTGGGTTTTTGACCCCAAAAAAATCATTTTTTTAGAAAAACTAAAAAAAAAATTAAAAAATTTCGAATTTCGAAAAAACGGAATATATGTGACTGTCTCTGCACTATTCTATATACATAGCAAGTTTTAGATCGTTTCCTCTTTTTTTGGCCAAGTTCTAGCGAAAAAACTGTTTAAAATTGATAGCGTCAAATTTTTTAACTCAATTTTTAGCGATTCTAGACCACGTAACGCAAAACAAAGACCACCATTGAACTCCCCGTGACGAGTTGCATCGAATCGATACCCATTTAGGGGAGAGCGGGGTGAGTTGTATCATGTCCAAGTTGTATCAGGGCGAATTGTGCCAAACTTATCCAATAGATAGCGCTCGTGATACGACCAGCCGACGAGGTTTTCCGGGCGCCATCTTTCCCTGTTCTGTCGTGTGGCTGGGTGGACGCGTCTCGAGGTGAGAGCCGATTTTATGTTTTTTTAATGTCATTCTAAAAAAATAAGTTGCAGGAAAATGTGTGTTTTGGGCATTTAGATGTGCACGAATTTGAAAGATCTCCGTAGCGGTGGTGAGGGTAGGTTCTAAGGCTGCGTGAGTGAAAATGGATTTCTCCAGCTGTCCGCCGTTTTTGAGCACGAGGATGTTTTTTCCAAGATGGCGGCGAGGTACATGTTGTATCAGAGCCGGATGGGGTGTGTTGTAACATGTATGTATGTATGCATGTATGGGTATGTTGCTTTTGATCGCGAAAGCTAAGCCCTGGCTCGCGTTTGTAGGTAGCTAGTCAATACTCGTTCCATTTCGGCACAATGTGTTGGCTGCTTTGCTCTTAACGGGCCACTTTTGCGTTTAGTCTGTTGATGTTTCGTTCGTTTCGATGTTTCGTTCGGATTGACTGAAGTTTGGTCTAATAAAAGTAAAGCCTTTGAGCATATACATTGTATTAACCCCATTTAATGTTGTTGTTATGTTCAAAACCAGTAGCAAGCACACTCCCTGAAACGTGAAATAGTGATACAAATTACCCCACCATGTGATACAACTCACCCAAGCCATGGGGCAAGTTGTATCAAAAACATTGTTCTATTCGGCAGACCGTAGAAGAAAAACTAGTAGAGGTAGCGGAAAAGTTACTTTGCACAAAAAAGCAGATGAATCAAGGAAGGAGATAGTATGGAAATAATGAGTTTATCACGGATAGTTACGAGGTTATGGGTCTCGGAGTAAAAACTGATACAACCCACCCCACTCTCCCCTATGCAAAAATAGAAACTTTGAAATTTGACCTAATTTCACTTGACCTTGGCCTGACCTTGACCTGACCTTCCCCATAACATAATCTGAACTGACCCCGAAGGCTGTCTGACCCTGATAATCGTATTTGGCATATAAAATGGACCATAAAGCATGCATCACATGATATTTTCATATTGTGACCCTCAGTGACCTGACCTCTGTGACCTGACCTGGTATCAGTGACCTCAAATAGCAAAATATGTGTTTGACGAACATAACCCCATCGATAATTTTCAATGAAATGCATTTTACTCGATCTTACAACGCATTTCTTGAAATGCCTGTAAACGGTGAAAATTCGACATTTGACCTGACCTCTGACGTCATCGGTCTGACCTCAATGAAATTGGGTCACAAGGTAATTCCCTGTTGGGGCTATCCAACACCGTTTGCCGCTTGTCGTTATGTTGCATGATTCTCGAGATCTTAGGGGGGGGGGGGGCAATTTGCTAAAAATGACAACGATTGACCAAACCAGCCAAACCTCCCAGACTGAAGTCCGTGGCGTAAACATAAACGGGAACTGAAACAAAGGCGGTGCCAAACAAAAGGTCTTTAACCCGCGCACCGACGGGGGGGGCGGATATCCGCCCCCCCCTGAGGTTTTTCGCGAATAGCGGGAAAACCGCGGCGCGTAGCGCCGCGAAATTTGGTATGACTATAACCTCATCAATTTTACACATGGTGTGCAAGTTTGAACCTCCTAACTTTTAACCTTCCAGGCGGTGGGGGGGGGGCAATTTTTTGCCCCCCTTTAGTTTTTTCGATATATCTCGAGAACCGCTGCGCCGATCGTCACCAAACTTTCAGTACCCTCCCGGGAGCAGCTAGCGCACATGGTGACCAAAACTTTTTCCAATGGCTATGATAGGTTGGCCGCTAATGACGTCAGAGTGACGTCATTTTTGCCATTTTCGACCCAAAAAAAGGTTTCGCGGGAAGAGCTGTCAGGCCTACAGCTTTAGAGATACATAAAAATGTTTCAGACATAAAAGGTGTGGAATTAAAAAGGGCTACAAAACTGCTATTTCGGTTTTTCGATTTTTTTTTGGATTTTGACCCCCAAAAATAAAAAAATAGATTTTTCGAATATAATAGCCGAAAAATCCAAAAAGTTTTTTGAATTTCGAAAAAACCGGAATATATGTGATAGTCCGTACCGCCTTCTATCTACATACCAAATTTGAGATCGATACCTCTTTTTTTGGCCAAGTTATAGCGAAAAAACTGTTCAAAATTGATGACGTCAAATTTTCAAACTCAATTTTTTTTATTTTTAGCAATTCTAGACCTCGTAGCGCAAAACAAAGACCACCATTAAACTCCCCGTGACGAGCTGCATCGATTCGATACCCATTTTATGCAAAAATATCAACTTTGAAATTTGACCTTTTTTGACCTGACCTTGACCTGACCTCCACCAGAAAGTGACCTTAACCGTACCTGATGGTCTTATAACCAACACCATTGAGTTGGAAATGAAAAACTGGCCATAAAACATGCATCGCATAACCTTAGTAAAGTTGGGCTGATGTGGTGACCCAGGGTGACCTTTGGTGACCTGACCTGTGACCTGACCTGGTATGACCGGTGACCTCTAATAGCAACATATGTACTAGACAACTGACGCCTCATCGCTGATTTTCGACAAAATGCGTTTTACTCGGTGTTATAGCGCTTTCCCTAGAAGCCCCGTGAACGGTGAAACATTTTGTCTTTGACCTGACCTGTGACGTCATCGGTGACCCCGAGGTCAATGAAATTTGGTTTCCCTCGACAAATTTGACAGGGCTATCGAACGCCGTTTGAATTTTCCGGATCCGTTCAGTAGTTTCGGAGATTTGGGGGGGGGGCAAAAAAATGCCCCCCCCCCACCGCGCGGAAGGTGGCTGGTAGGCCCACCGCCTGCCGGGTTAAGGTCAGGTCACCAGGTCACTTTGAATGACCCAACCTCAAGTCACTTTTTTGCAATTTTGTCACCGTGCCAGAGCTACAGTAGATGTCGGAGGCCTTTGAAAGTCGCAGGCTATTATTAGGTTATTAGTAGCTACAATTTGTATATCTCGGAATTTTGATATCGGTGACCTAAGTCAGGTCAATTTCGCGACCTCCCCATTATAAGTCAATGGGGGAAAAATCAACTCCCTGTTTTTACCACTAAAACGGGTCAGAATGGCCCCATATACCATACATGACTTCATATACGATCAACCTTCACTACCTTGAGGTCTGTTTTGCTGTTGGGCAGCTGTGAGGTCATGTGACGTCATCAAAGGTCACCAAAGGTTTTTGGCCAATAACTCCGTACAGGAACAAGATACAGACGCGTGGATGGTCTCATTGTGTTCAGCTCGTCAAGACGCATCGAATGATATACATGATGACCTCGAGGTCACGTGACCTGAGGTCAACCTTTGACCTTGACCTTTCGAGGTCAACATATATATCATTCGATGCGGATTGACGAGAGGATCACGATGATGCCCTTAGTTTGTTCCTATCTTGACTAATTCGAAAGTTATTCGAGAAAAACTCTCTCCATATCTGGCGCCGCCATTTTGACTTTTTCGACCCCTGTGACGTCATCTTTGACCTGACCTGAAAATGACCTTTGTAAAAATTGTAGATCTTGGCCGTGCGTATCCGATGCCGTTTACCGCTTGTCGCTATCTTGCTTCGTTCTCGAGATCTCAGGGGGGGGCGGTCATCCGCCCCCCCCCCCGTCGGTGCGAAGTTGGCGCAGGCCCCCGTCGGTGCGCGGGTTAAGAGAATTTAACGAGAAAGGGTAATCAACTGATCAACTGATATAATGATCTCAGACAGCCTTTGTTTAACCGTCCCTAACGAAGGGTAGTTTTAGCCATTGAACACAAACGTTCGATCTAAAATGTAAGCAGTTAAGCAACCCTTTAATTTAACACATTTTTACAGCACTATATCAACTATCATCGTTAAGTAAAACATCTGAAAATGCACTTACCCTGTTCATGGTTCCTTCCGTTCACTCGTCTCTTTTTGGTAGCGGACCGCGCGCTGCCCGGCTCACTGACACTGCGGAGCCGACTGGAGGCACGACCCGGCGCCCGGGGCAGTGACCGGTCGCAGGGGCGCGTCCAGGCGCCGCGGGAGGGGGGACGGCAGGAGCGGCGCCAGGGCAGGAGCGAGGGAGGGCAGGGGAGGCTCCAGCCTCCAGGGCTGGATGGAGGGGCTTACAGGGTAGGGTAGGGCCGCAATGGGAGTAAGGCAGAGGCAGCTCCAGGCACGGACAGAGGGAGGACAGTGCCGCACCCAGACTGTCCATGGTGGTGGTGGTGATGGGAGGAAAGGGCGGAAAACACTGAGAGAGGGATAGAGGGCAGCGTTCGTTCTAGAGATGTCAATGGGATGCCTACTTTTTGGTATAACGATACCAACCCGATACCAACTTGGTATTTGGTATTTCGAGGCTAATGCATTTGGTCTTTTGTTGGTATTATGAATCCTCACTCCTCTTAGAGGCTGTAAATTTGGCAAAAAATGGCATTCCCGTCATATCCCCAAGTCGGCTCGGTTTTGGTATTTTCCCGTGGTTATTGGCTGTTATTGGTATTTGGTTTGGTATCGGTAGCACGATTTTTCCGGATTGACATCACTAATTCGCTCCATGCCGTGGTGCTTCATGCACCGCGGGAGGAAGGGAAGGGGGCGAGTCGACCCTCCGATCGACCCGCCTGCGCCGCCGTCCCCCTAGGGGGGCGGCGGGTGAGGTGCAAGAAGAGAGAGAGAGAGAGAAGAGAGAGAGAGAGAGAGAGAGAGAGAGAGAGAGAGAGAGAGAGAGAGAGAGAGAGAGAGGGCAGGAGAGGCCACCGAGGGAGGGAGAGAGATAAGGGGCGGCAACAGGGCAGGAGAGCGGGGAGGGCATGCTGGGAGCGCGTCCAGGCTCTGCGGGAGGGAGGACAGGCGGTTGGAAGCACCGCGGGAGGACAGGCAGGGGCGGCTCCAGGGCAGGGGGAGAAAAAGAGGGAGGGGCAGAGGCGGTCCGAGGTACTGAGGGAGGGGAAAAGGCAGGGAAGGGTAAGGCAAAGAAGGCTCCAACCAAGTTTCAAGGAAACGTTGCTGCAGCGCGCTGTAAAGCAGTGTCCATGTAACGAGAGAGGAGAGGCAGGGAGGATCAGGAAGCAAGGTGAAGACGAGTGAACAACGCAACGACGGTTCCAAACAAAAGTGAATGCGGCTCCATATTATCTTAACCCGCGCCCTGCTGGGGGGGGGGTGTTTGAACACCCCCCCTTGTGGTTTTTCGCGAATATCTCAAAAACGGCGGCGCGGAGCGCCGCCGTTTTTGGTACACCTTATCATACATCAATTCTACACATGTTGTGAAAATTTCAGACCAAGGTCATTCAAGGTCAGGTCACCAGGTCACTTGAAGTGACCTCACCTCATAAAAAGTTTCAATGTCAGTCATAGCTACACCGAGTGACCGATCGCTTTGAAACTTTCAGCGATTGCTAAAAGCAATAGCATGTACAAAATGTATATCTCAGAATTTTGATGTCGATGACCTAAGGTCAGGTCAATTTTGCGACCTCACCATTATAAGTCAATGTGAGAAAATTGAAATGCGCCTCTTTTGGACGAAAGACATTATAAACACTCCCAAACACTGAATTACAAGTGGTTTAGACACACTGAACATGAAAATGGTGTCCGTGACCCCTGATTATGCCCTGAGGTCATCTTAGGTCACGAATAGTATCTAACAGTTTTTCGCAAATAACTTTTGATAGAGGCATGCTAGAACGATGAAAACGCCTTAGATGTGTTCAGCTCGACGATACCGATCGACTGATATGCAACATGACCCTTTCCGGTCAGGTCATGACCTTGACCTGAGGTCAAATTTTCAAGTTGACCTTTCAAGGTCAAGTTATAGTTCATTCGATGCGTCTTGACAAGAGGAACACGATGCCGGTAAAGGTAAGCTCGTACAAGAATTGAGTCAAAAGTTATTGCAGAAAAACTGTTTCCGAAAAAATCGGCTATTTTTGCAGTTTTTGCCCCCTGCAGGCAAAACCGTTGACGTTAGGTCAAATCTGAGAAAATTACTCAGAAAGGGCGTTAATAGGGCTATCGAATGCGCTTTTCTGCGGCGCTGTAGCTCTATTGGTTCCCGAGTTATGCGTTGGCTTCTTGGAAATTGTCGACATTCGACCTTGAAATCGGCGAAATTTTGCCTTCAATGACCTCTGGTGACCTGACCTTTGACCTGACCAAAAAATTGACCGAAGTGATTTCCTCATTATTTTTGACGCTCTTTCGAACGCCGCCTTCCGCGTGTCGCTACGTGGCCCAGGAGCCGAGTTAGAAGGGGGGTGTTCAAACACCCCCCCCCCCCAGCAGGGCGTGGAAATCCAGGACCCCCAGCCGGGCGCGGGTTAATCGAGTTTGAACCTATAGGGGAGAGTGGGGTAAGATGCCCAGGGTGGGAAAGACGCCCCACCCCCTACAGCGGCGAAACAAAGAATCGGACCTGGAAATTAATGTTCTTAGCGTAAAGCGGAAGCCTGCCTTGTTAACTGCACAAAAAAATTGCGAAGCTCAGTTGAGCAACGGCTGGCTGATGATTGCATGTTTTTTATTTGCTGCTTTCAAAAAATATTTTGGTGTCAGAACATTGTAAATATCAAAGAAGGTAAATAATTTTTGCGTCCCTTACTATAGTCGTGATACATTAGCATGCGTGTACTGGTCCCAAAAAGTTTGTTTTAGGGTGTAGTTTTATGGCTAACAAATTGTACTGATTTAATGTTACTTCGGTACCTTGGGGTAAGATGCCCCCTGTCCTGATGGGGAAAGACGCCCCCTAAATCCGTAGGCTGTCCTTCAAGCAGCCCGTCAAATCATTTATTAGGTACATAGTTGTGATGAGAGACAAAAGCCGATCTGGGACTATTGAGAGTCCGGTATAGGTCGGGTGCTCCCCATGCCGGTCTCTCGGCCCACACAGCGACTTTTTGGGCGGCATCTGACTCTGAGAGCCCTTACGACGGCCTCTGTGGGCCCCATTATTGGCTCCAGGGCCCCTCACGACATCCTTTGAGGGCTCCCACGTTGGGCCCACGGGCCGCGCTGGCATCGGAGGTCCCCACGATGGGCTTGAGGGCCCTCAAGCATCATGAAGACCTATAAGAGCCCCACAGTGGTCTCCGAACGCCACCACAGAGGCTTGTTTGGCCGTGCTGGACTATGATGGCCCTTACGATGACCTCTGAAGCCCCTTACGACTACTTTTGAGGGCCCTTATGATGACGTTTGGTGTCTACTGCAGGCTCGAAGGGACTACTGATTCGTTCAGGCGATTCACGTGCCCATTTATGTCACTTATAGTGCAGGGGGCATCTTTCCCAACGTCAGGGGGCGTCTTTCCCACCCTGTGGGGTAAGATGCCCCCTTTCACTTCTTCAGGAAAATGCTTAATAGCAAAGAAGGTTATAATATTTCAGGCACGAAAGTGTGATATTTTTGGAGAAAAATGATGTCGGCTTCCGTTGAAACTCCAAGTTTTTGCTTTCCCATCGTCATTTTCGAATAATATATGACATAGCAAAACCCTGGGCATCTTTCCCCACTCTCCCCTACAAACAGAAAATTCAGAGATCTGAAAGAGTCAAAACGAAAGGTAGAACAATTCAATACGCTTCTTCAAATTCATAGGTTTGTTTCACGGAGATACTATAAAAAATTGATTTCCAATCCTGGCCACTTGTTTCATTTTTTTATACAATGTCGGCAGGTTAACCTGAAAATTGGTATTACATGCGCCGGTGTATGTACTGGGACAGGTTGGCTGGTTTCAGAAATTCAACGCGATAGTGAATTTCTTCTTTATCTTTACCCCTAACGTTATCTTTTAACTACCCCTAACGTTATCCCTAACGTAAATCTTTTACCCCTAACGTTACTCGTTATGATACTGTGGTGTGTAATTTGGCAGTCTCCAGACGGCGCCGTGATGGTAGTGCTGTGGGTATGATGGCAATATGGCAGTCTATTCAGTAGTGTTGCTGTTTGAAGATATTGCAGTATCCACCTCGTGGTGCTATTGTTTCGTGTGCTGTTGCAGTCTTCACCCCGTGTTTGGCTACTGTTGTGTGCACTGTTGCAGTCTCAAAGCCGTAGTGTTATTCCGGTTTGTACCATTGCAGTCTCCATACCGTGGTGATACTGTTTTGTGTACCGTTGCAGTTTCCACACCGATATTTTACCGTTGTGTGTATTACCACAGTCTCCAAGTCTTATTGTTACTGTTATGTGCATTGTTGCAGTCTCCAACTCTCCACACTTTAATGCTACTATTGTGTGTGTACTGTGTACTGTTGCAGTCTCCTTACCCATGTGTTTTACTTTTATGTGCACTGTTGCAGTCTCCCTTACATGGTGCTACTGTTGTGTGTACTATTGCATTCTCCATATCCCGATGTTACTGTTATGCGTACTGTTGCAGTCTCCATACCGCGGTGTTACTATTATGTGCACTGTTGCAGTCTGAATACCGCGGTGTTATTGTTGTACCTATGCACTATTGCAGTCTCTGTACCATGGTGCTACTGTTATGTGTACTGTTGCAGTCTCCATACCGTGGTGCTACCGTTGTTTGTACCGTCTCTGCCGTCACTGTGTTCGGTGCCGACGGCCGGCTGCCCGCCTGCCGTTCCCGCTCGTCTCTGCCGGCACTGTGTTCGGTGCCGACGGTGGCAGCCCGCCTGCTGAGCCCCGCTGTCTACGCCTCCGTCGACGCCGTGGTCGGGCCGACGGCCGGCTGCCCGCCTGCCGTTCCCGCTGTCTACGTCTCCACCTGCTGAGCCCCGCTGTCTCCGTCTCCGTCGACGCCGTGGTCGGTGCCGACGGCCGGCTGCCCGCCTGCTGAGCCCCGCTGTCTACGTCTCCACCTGCTGAGCCCCGCTGTCTCCGTCTCCGTCGACGCCGTGGTCGGTGCCGGCGGCCGGCTGCCCACCTGCTGAGCCCCGCTGTCTCCGTCTCCGTCGACGCCGTGGTCGGTGCCGGCGGCCGGCTGCCCGCCTGCT